GAAGTTTATATGCTGGAGTCTGATGTAGTTTTGATTGCATGATCAGATATGAAGAGAAGCGTTTGCGCTGGGAAAAAATTCAAAAACCTTAGTCCAAATTTTTTTATATGCCTTTTTTTACGTTAGTCGCGTGACTAATCTGACTACCCCTAGATCCGCCCCTGAGCTGTTGTTCCCCGGTCCGTCGCCACGCTGTTTCTTTATGAGTTATATAGTTTCCTCAAAGGTTCACATACTCCACTCAGGTTCGGCAAGAATCTTTGTAAATAGTTCACAAAACCAATCAATCTACGAACTGCAGCTACATCTGTTGGCTTAGGCATCTCTAAGATTGCTCTCACCTTGTCTGGATCAGGCTTCAGTCCTTCGTCTGTCAACAAATGACCCATGAATGTAACTTCATTACAACTCAGTTTGACTTTATCTGCATTCAACGTGGTGTTCTTCTCACGACATCGACGCATTAATGCATGAACTTTCACATCATGATCTCGCTGTGCTTCTTCACGCGTAGCACCGTTGCCAATCACCAGGATGTCATCATGAATTGCTACCACCCCTGGAAGATTCTCTATAACACGATATTGGCGTCGTTGAAACTCTTCTGGTGCACATAAATTCTATCGTTGTCTTCGATCTCTTTACTTCGTTCTTTTGATAGTTCAGCTGCGCGACAATTCTCTATGCATTTATCCATGCTCAGTTCAGGTATTTTTAACAAGTCCTGTCGTAGCTTCGAGTCAGTCATGCCACAAATTATTCGGTCTCAGATCAATGATTCTTTAAGCTGTTCAAAGTTACACGTTGCAGCCAGAATTTTCACATCTGTGATAAACTTATCTAATGTTTCTCCCGCTTCTTGCACTCTTGTAAAGAACTTGTATCTCTCTATCGTCTCGTTTTTCTTCGCGTCAAAATAGTTCGAGAATGCTTCAACAATATCTTTAAAGTGTTTATGAAACGGCTGAAATTTTTTTCTGAAATTGTGCCGATATTATAGTTTAAAGTACGCTGAATATCATGCTGTATTTTATTTTCGCCCCGCGATTCTTTAAAGTCGATTTTTTAAGCCACAAAGTTTGCCACCTATGACCTTTGTTTGTCCCATCTCACGGCGCGGTCAAATTGATGGCGTGACGTCACTGGTTGTACTCGCGCGTTCATTCCAAAGGTGAATTTGTCAATTTGTTATGGCCGAGACTCAAAACAGCCGAGCGAAAGGGAAATCTCTTGGAAAGTATTGTGTTGCAGGCGAACCTGGAAAAGTCAGTTGCAAAAACAATTCGAAAACACAAGGAATTTCGATGCATCGCTTCCCTAGCGATAGTTCTGTCCGAGCAAAATGGGCTTGTATTGTCCAAAGACATCGTCCGCAATGGCAGCCATCTAGCAGTTCGGTGCTTTGCTCAGCACGTTTCAAGGTCACAGATTTTGAACAACGGCTTGATTTTAATCCACAAGACCTGGAAAAATTCACGACTAAGAGATGGCTGAAGAAAGGCGCGATACCTAGTCTAGATTGCGTTGTTTCAGGGCAACAAGTTCAGGCGATTTCAGCTCGTGAAAGAAGACAGGTAAATATATGCATAAATTGTTCGTTTGCGGCATTTTGAAGCTGTTACATATTCATCCTTGACATAATCTAAATATTCAATACTCTTCACGGCAAAAACCAGATAACTCTATAAAGACCCGTTTACACTATGTATAATAGTAATATTTGTTGCTATAAATTTGGAATTGACACTCGGACATTTAATAGTTGGCCACCAAAGGCAAGTGAACAACATGAAATAAAAGCTTTGTAAGGCAAGGCTCTCATGCTACATTTTCATAGTTTAATATGTAGATGTCAATATGAAAGACATAAAAGTATTTGGAATGTGTTGTTGAATTGAGTTTGCCTTCAAGTGGTTAATAGTTTAAATACAGGTCAATTGAAGCCAATTTCTATGTTTATTTACTTCTTCAAAGTCACTACTTCATGTTATGTGTATGTAATCTATTTTTATTGGTCTCAGGGCTTTAGCCAGGTACAGTATCTGGTGTAAACACACCATGTTGGGCGCCAGTTAGGTAATTCTCAAGCTGTGTTTACACTACGAGCCTAAGCCTGGCCTACCTTTGGACTAGATTTTTGTGGTGTAAATGCACTTCGGCCTGGCCTAGGCCAGGAAATCTGGGCCCATCAGGAAAGGTGGCCCAGATTTCTTGGTCTAATGGCGGTCGAAGTGCATGGTCTAGTGGTCTAGTGGCAGTCGAAGTTGACACTACCAAAATCTAGTACAAACTTAGGCCAGGCTTAGGCTCGTAGTGTAAACACGGCTTCAGATGCAGAAAAGTCTCGGTAAAAGTTTTTTTAACCCATTAAGCTGTTGAGCTTTTCCATTGACAAGCCTCAGACTCGGTGATTGTCGGGGAATATTCACCTCAACTTTGTCTCTGCGAATATTCCCCGATAATCACCTCACCTTTGGCGAACAATTGTTAACACCAACACAAATTGCAACACAAAGTGGGCAATATGTAAAACTAATTGTGTAAACGTCCTCTGGTTAAAAAGATTTATTTATTACTAAATAAATAAATAAGTATAAATAAATCTTTTTAACCAGAGAACGTTTACACAATTAATTATGAATCCTGGATTTTTAAATATGTAAAACATTAATACACATTACAGATTTGGTGATAATACTTTTCTTTGGGTTTTATGTTATGAAATATTTACATAATAGAGCCTTCAGTTATCGTTATCCGTTTGCTCTTCTCCAGATATATACCAGCATCACCAGTACAAAATACATGCAGTCATTATATGATGGTAAATGCATGGTGACAAGGGCTGGTGTTCTCCCAGCCCATCAAGCCAAACAGCCGACGATATGACACTGCTCTGAGGAATCTATAACAATAAAAATTTATCTTTATAGAACCTGTAAAGTTGTTTTACTTTCGCTACTAGTCAGAATTAATATGCACAACCGAAGTATATGTACCTTTTATCTGAGCCATTTTTTATTCCATGGGAGCTTCCATCAGTTCCATGTTTGTTTTTTAGAAGAGGCCCAACTTCACTTCTCTTTTGTCATAGCATTGAAGTCAGGATGATTAAGGATGTATTCAACATTCTTGCCAATCCAAGTAAATTTTCCAGTTACTTCCACAATCTCTTTGCAGCAACAGTACTCTGAACACTCGCCAGATTTTGATCGGCAAAATTCCCACACGAACACCTACAACAGAAATAAATAATAAGGCAAATATCAGGGAAATATTGCATGAAAATCATAATAAAGTAACTTAGTATTGTTTGTAGAACTCACCAATTTGATAATGGAATATTTTTTCTAAACGTTTCTCCAAAACAGATGGCAAAATGTAATCTTCGTCCTGTTCCTCGTCAGAAGATTCGCTGTCGTCTGTACTGGCAATAGTTCCCCTTGATACGGCTTCATACGGCTCAAAACAATTCGTTACGTTCATATTTCCTTCTAAATTGCTCACCGTTATGTTATCAGACTCTAAGCTAGAGTAACTTTTAAGAGAATCTTCGCTGTGCGACATAGTAAAAGAGTAGAAATCACGATAAAATATTATATACAGCGCGATAATACAAATGTTCTTTACTGTTTATATTGAGAATGTCAACATGTGTGTACAACCAGTGACGTCACGCGCTGTTTTCACTCGGGTCCAGACCCCGGGACAAAAAATAGCCGAATTGCTGAACTTTGTAGCTTAAAAAATCGACTTTAAAGAATCGAGGGGCGAAAATAAAATACAGCATGATATTCAGCGTACTTTAAACTATAAAATCAGCACAATTTCAGAAAAAATTTTCAGCCGTTTCATAAACACTTTAAAGCTCCGCTTTTCGGGTTCTTGATCAAACGATAATGTCTTGTATATTTCTCGACCTTGACTTCCAACAATGTACAGAAAGTGTTTAACTATCGTCTCTTCTTTCTTTCCAACCATAGCCAATTCCATATACAGCTCTACCTCTTCTCGCCAACGTTTCCATGAGTGCGCGACATTTGAAACGTCGAAGTCAAACTCAGTAGGTGGTTTTAGGTGAGCAATTGGTCGATTTATTTCACTAGTTTCTGGTTCGCCATGTTTCTTTCAGGCTCGTTTAACTACACACCTGACACCATGTTAAACATCCCGTTTTATATTAACACATGCACACATTTAAGTACAGTAGATTAAGACACACTTAATAAAACTGCTATCTCTTTTATACATTAGCACTATGAGCCCGCATTACTGTTCCATGATAAATACTTCTAGTTACAGCCGATGTTTCTAATATTGATTGGTATAATGTACTGCCAAATGACAACAATGTTAATAATTTATTTCAATCATTTCATTCTGAGATTTTGAAGGTTGTTGACAGACATGCACCTGCAACTAGAATTTCTAGAAATGAGGTTAAAACTATGTCAAAACCATGGATTACTTCTGGTATTAGAAAATCAATTAAGAGGAAAAATAAACTTTATCAGAAATATTTATCGACAAAAAATGAATATTATAAATCTAAATACAAGTGCTATCGAAATAAATTAAATAATTTGCAACGTATTAGTAAAAAAATCTATTTTGAGAATTACTTTACTGCTAATAATAAGAATATCAAGAACACTTGGAAGGGAATTAAACAACTTATTAGTAAGTCTTATTACTTTGAAACCTAAGGGACATAGCTTACCTAGAAAAATTATAAAGGATGGCCAGGAGAAAATTTTTTTTATATATTCCAAAAAATTCGGACAGATTATGGTCGGTTTAATCTGCGCTACTGTGGTAGTTTAATCTGGAATTCCATTGATAGTAAATTGAAATCTTTAAGCAAATATAACTTATATAAATTCGGTTTCCATTTGTGACATTTTTGATGATATATTCTTTTGCGTCTATTGTACTTTGTCTTTGCCTTAATGCATGTGATTTGATTATATATATATATATATATATATATATATATATATATATATATACAGGGTGTATCAAAAAAAACTGAACAGATTTAAAATTGCTCTCAATTTCGCAAAACAGCTATTTGTAGCTGGTTTTTTATATATATAGCTTCCTTGGGTACTTATAATGTAAAATAATGAAAAAAATTTCTCGAACTTAAATTTTGTGAACCAGGGGGGTGTGTCTTTTCCAACAAACTAAAAATGGCTCGCGCACAAAATTAAAAAGCTGCAATCATATTTTGAGTTAACAGATGAAAAATTTGTCGGGATTTTAATTTGGTTTAGTTTAAGCCCCTTAACAATTTGGTTTAGTTTAAGCCCCTTAACTATTCACGCAAAGTTACAATTTTCCCGAAAAATCAGCTATTTGCATGCTTAATTAATGCATTTGCCTAATTTGCATATGTCAGCAATATGCAAATTAGGTAAAGGCATTAATTAAGCATGCGAAAGGCTGACTTTTTAGAACAAAATGAATAGTTAAAGGGCTTAAACTAAACCAAATTGTCTGAAATTTTTTACAGTAATTAAAAACCCGACAAATTTTCAATCTATTAACTCAAAATATGATTACAGCTTTTACATTTTGTGCGCGAGCCATTTTTAGTTTGTTGCAAAAGACACACCCCCCTGGTTCACAAAATTTGAGATCGAGAAATTTTTTTCAATATTTTACATTATAAGTACCCAAAGAAGCTATATATATAAAAAACCAGATACAAATAGGTGTTTTGCGAAATTGAGAGCAATTTCAAATCTGTTCAGTTTTTTTTTATACACCCTGTATATATATATATATATATATATATATATATATATATATATATATATATATATATATATATATATATATATAGTATATATATATATATATATATATATATATATATATATATATATATATATATATATATATATATATATATATATATATATATATATATATATATATATATATATATATATATATATATATATATATATATATATATATATATACATTTCGTCTTTCGCTTGCGTCTTTTGTCTAAATGTGCTACTTATAGCTTGATTAGCCCTTATGGTTATTTCTTTGCAATTGTAGCCTTTACTCTATATTTGTGTAATGTATTTTGTTGTAAATTATTGTATTACCTCAGAGTATTAAATTATATGTTTATCTTATCTATAGAGAACCCAACCAAGCCTTGTTTGAATGGCAGTCGGACCACTATCTCCTTGTCTGGTTTTCCCGGTCACGATCTTCCAGTAATGATCTGAACCGATCGGGATATCCACTTTCGCATCGTGTTGACCAGATGAGTAATCAGCTATAGGTGGAGGCTGGCGAGATGAGGGTAGGTCTTGCTAGCATTTGACACGAATTGGTTCTTTAATGGCTGACAAATTAATGGCACAGTAAACGCTAACATTTCAATGTTTGCTCCATAGGCAGTTTCTATCCCAAGATTCACCACATCAATAACTTGAGCATTCGTCTCGCTAAAGCCAAATGTTTTTATGTTTACCGACCTTTGACTCTTTGACTGCAGACCGAGAGTTCCCGTCAGTGCACTGCTGACGTACGAACACTGGCTGCCGCCATCCAGGATTAGTCTCGCTTTGACCTTGGGAGCATTAGGATTATCTGGGTTATATATGTTTGCTCTTGCGGTTTGGAGAAGGACACAGTTCGATGAGGTTGTGTGACAGACAGTTGCGTCAGGATGGGTCCCCAAACTAGGACTTTCCTTTGACTTGTTGGATCCGCTTTGCCCATGTTCCTCAAGGAGGTCCCTAGGAGATGGTGGAGGTGGCTTCTTACCCTTACATATGCTAACATAATGTCGCCCCTTACACGAGTAGCACCGTGTTGTTGACTTTGATCCTTTCTTAAGGCACACAAAACATCTCCCCGTCTTCCGTAAAATATCTTGACGAGCAGCAGGACTAGTCACAGTTGTACAGTCCTTTGATGGGTGGGACCCCCTGCAGTAAGTACAACTTGGAATATTACCGGCCATCAATGCTGAGGCTGAACGTGAAATTTCTTAAAATCCTTGTTGGTTGCAGGTACCTTAATTCTCTCCCTGGCTTCTAACTCTTGCTGCAAGGTATTTAATAGTTTGTCCAAATTCCATTCGTTTTCCTTAACCATTCTGCTAACAACCAGCTGTAGATTTGGTGGTAGCTTGGGCATTAACATTGAAGAAAGAAGGCTACCATAAGATTCAGGGGCTGCTCCCATAGATTTCAAGCTTCTGATGTGTGATTGCACCGTATCATGAAGTTGGCGCAAACAATTCAGGTTTTTCAGAATTAACTGATGGAAGATTTAACAGAATATCCATATGTCGATTTATAATTTGCTGTTTATTCCCAGACCTTGATTTCAAAATAGCAATTGCCTCTTCATAATTAGCATTAGTTAAAGACAATCCAGCAATGGATTCAGCAGCAGCTCCGTCCATGAAAGAATTTATCAATCGGTGCTAAGGAGCGATTGTTGTGGATAGAGGCTTCAAATGTGTCCCAGAATGGGTTCCATTGACTAGGATCCCCAGAAAACCTTTTAAGGATTAATTTTGGCAATTTTACTTGTGCTACATGATTAATTGGTTGGACAGCTGGATGCCCCCAAGGTTCTCGGGTGATGCAGATGTGGGTGGTATGGTACGATGCTCTACTGGTTGGGGTTGATTCACCGTTGAAATCAAGGCTGATCCAAATTTGGCGTTCCATTTTCATTTGATGTATCAAACTGACTTGAATATTGATTCTGTAGTAACGACGTGCTTGCAGTGCTAGCACTAGAGCCTTGAGGTGATGTGGGGGCTTGACTGGGTACTGGTGGGGTGTTATTTGTTGTATTTTCAGTCACATTCGATAACATAGCTGAACTAGACATGCTGGAGGTATTAAGTGCTCTTTTTACATTTTCCAAAGCCAACTGCAAGCCTTCTCTGCAAATATCGCACTGTTCTATTTCTTCTTCAATATTAGCTTCATCAACTAGTTCAAGAATTTCCTCATCAAGGACCTTTAAAGTTTCAAGTTTTTCTTTCATGCTAGCTTTAAGTTGATTCAGTTTGGGCACAATTTCTTCCAGATTATTTGGGTCAAAAGAAACAAGTACTTCACTCACCGTCTTTTGAAGTCGTGTGGCGGACGCTCGATGAGCCCCTTTAACTTTTTCTTCCTCGATAAATCCGTGCTCATATTTATACTAACAGCGTTTAAATACAGACAATATTCGTCCAAAATCCACAAATAACCAGATATTTTATGTAAGAATAACTCCAATAACCTTAAATATTTTAACAACAGAAGTTCTCCAGGCTCGTATCTCCAAGATTATACAATAAATTCCCCAATAACTAGTGTAAATCTCACGTTACTGCTCAAATTTTGTTCAAATTCCAGACTCCAACTCGAAATGTTTTGAATAAACCACAGGCTCAAATCCAGTATTCTCCGTGATAATATTTTTAGAATTGCCGGTAATCCGGTTCTCAAAGGACCATGTTATGAAAACTTCGATGGACTGTATTATCGTAATATTTAATGTAAACTCAGGACAAAATTGAACATATTACATCTCAACGCACAGAAAAGTAGAAAACGTTTCTTTACCATTTTGCATATATTAAATTGATTATGCCAAAGCGAACCCTAACGATAATTTCAACAAAACACAAGCATACGTCACAACGACAAACATATTGTCGATACCGTCTCAAAATGTATCACTGAATTATGCCAAATCAAAGAGTTAAGCATATTTTCAACAAACACACTTTATCCTTTATTATAAGTGCATTGGTCCTCAGTAAAATGTATTATTGCTCCTCCGTTTGGTCGAACACCTCGAAAAAGAACATATCAAAACTCCAAAGCGTGCAAAACTTCGCGGCACGCGTTATTACTGGAATTAGAAAATATGACCATGTGACGCCTATCCTGCAGCAGTTAGCTTGGCTTCCAGTTGAGTGTATGTTGAAACTCAGGGATGCGGTTATGACATTTAAGTGCATGAAAGGGTTAGCTCCGCCATACTTGTGTGACAAATTCGAAATGAGATCAAAGATTCACAGTGTTAACACCAGAAATAAGTATAAGTTAGACATTCCACTGTATAATTCGGCTTCTGGACAGCGAACGTTTCATTATCGCGCAGTGTCTATTTGGAATGAGCTCCCAAATCATATTAAAGACATTGTCACTTTGGATCAGTTTAAACTAGAATATAAATGTCATTTATTGCATGAATTTTTAGAAAGTAGTCAATAGTTTTAGACAATTTGGGCTTGTTTAAATTAGCATATAAACGTTTTCACTGTATAAATTTGATTTGAATATCATTTGTATTCGCTTCAAGCAAACCAGCCCATGCAAGTCAACAAATTAAAGTTACAAGAAGGCAAAAAATGTTTCCGCAGATACATGGGAGACAGCGGTTATCATATATTCGCTTTATACCCAAATACCTGTATAGGAACAGAAACACAGTGAAAAAAACAGCAGGTAATTTGGCTAACGCTTGTTTATACCCAATTCACAACTTTAGATAACTCACATGCCTAGCTATAACTACGCTTTCAAATTACCTACATGAGTGAATAACTCTTATCTATTTCTATGCTTCTGAGTTCTGTGAATTAGAACAATTGTAAGTAACTAGGCATGTGAGTTATCCGGCCAAAATTCTGAATTGCGTAAGCAATGATGTAAACAACGTTAGCCAAATTTGTTTATTGTTAACAGGTTAAGTTAATGGAATAAAGTTGAAAATAACGAATGCAGAATATCCAGTGATTGTCAATATCGCATAATTACCTCTTCTTTATAGCTTCCTTTGTTTTGTTCACTTCTTCCATGTTTTCAATCTCCACCATTAGGCCTTCTGTTTGAATGCCAATATTGAAAAATTCTTTATCCAAACATTCTTTTATTTTCCCAGATTCAAACTCTTCTAAAACTTCCAAAAATCTCTCATCCGTAAAACAATGTAGTAGAACATGTAAAGATCCTGGTTTGATGCCCCGAACTTCTTGGTCATCTCTTTCACCACCAAAGCCTTTTTTAACAGCGTCTTCGATTAATGGTTTGAAAACTTTATAGGCAAGAAAAGCACCGAGTGCAAATCCTATGCCGAGGCCTACTTTTTCGCCAAGTTTATTTATTAATTCTTTCGCTACTTCCACATTATTAGTTGAAATACTTACTGAAATGTCACCTCCCTTAGCGTGTGTTATACCAACATACAGAGCATTGCTTGCTGCATCCATTGCATTAAAACTTGCGCTGAAATTAAAAAAGACAAGAAATTAAGGTAAAAACCCACCATTGCCACATAAGTAAACCTGTGTGACAGACAAACATGCACTCCAAACCGTATATATATATATATATATATATATATATATATATATATATATATATATATATATATATATATATATATATATATATATATAATGAAGGATATTGTTGTTTAGTTACTAAGTATAATCCGCGTGGACCAGACATACGAAAAATCATAAATAAACATCACAAGTCCATTATCTGTGGTGATGAGAAGGCCAGAGATATTCTACCCGAGAAGGTTATTCGTGTGTCTTTTAAGCGCAACGCCAATTTAAAGGAGTTATTGGCAACCTCCAACCCATATGGCAAGGATAATACTGAAGTAGAACAATTCGGTTGTTTTAATTGTACAGCAAAGCGTTGTGACTGCTGTAAGAATTTTTTGTTAGAAGGGCACACTTTTCGTTCCGTTATTACCAAGAAAGTTTTTAAAATCTGTAAATCGCTTACATGTACGTCCAAGGCAGTGGTATATCTTGCCGAATGTTTGGCTTGTGGTTTGCAGGGTGTTGGTTCTACTGTTAATTTTAGGGCCCGCCTTGCAAACTACAAGTCACACATTAAGCGTGGGCACAGAACTTGTACACTCTAAAAACACTCTGGTTAAATTTGGGTTAATTCAACCAGGATGGGGTTAAAAATCCACCTACACAATCCTGGTTAAAAAAATTAAACCATTTTCCTGGTTAAAAGTCCAAAGAAGTATGGCCAGATTTTTGTTGAATCAATAATTTTTAACCAGGAAATCAGTTAATTTAACCAGGAATGTGCTAGGTAGTTTATTGATCCAGTTCCTGGTTGAATATAACCAGAGTGTTTTAAGAGTGTAGTATTGTTAATCACTTCCTGGATTGCCACGGGGCTGATCATTCATATTTGAAATTTATGCTGATTGATCAGCGTTGTGGTAATCTGTTGGAATGTGAAAACTTCTGGATTGGGACCCTTTTGACTAATCAGGGAGGGTTAAATGATAGTCATGATTTTGTGCAACAGTGACTTCTTTGTCTATCACTAAGCTTAATTAGTTATCATTATTGTAATATTTGCATATTATTGGTGTATATATATACGTTAGAAATTATTAGTAATATTATTTCTGAGGAAGGCTGAGACATTCAGTCGAAAATTAAAACTTTATTACTTTAGTATATTTTTAGTATTGGTTTCTCTCGGATCGTAGCCAGCTATATATATATATATATATATAGATAGATAGATATATATATATAGATAGATATATATATATACAGCTAATTCAATAAAGGTTGTCCTTTGAAACCTTAAACTCTAAAACCTTAAACCTTAAACTCTAAGCGCGCAAAGCATAATGGGAGCACGATTTCAGCAGTTTACAAAGCATATATGAAGCCCATTTCTTGGAGACATGATAAATATCTCCCTGCAAAAACATTTCAATGACAAACAGCTGCAATAATCAACTACTAAGCTTGAATCAGTGCTCCCGTCATGCTTTGCGCGCTTAGAGTTTAAGGTTTAAGGTTTTGAAGTTAAAGGTTTGCAAAGGACAACCTTTATTGAATTATATATATATATATATATATATATATATATATATATATATATATATATATATATATATATATATATATATATATATATATATATATATATATATATATATATAGTTAATCATCACGATATGGCATTTATAATTTTTATATATGTTAATCACCGTAGGAAAGTATTTTTTAGTGAACAGGAAAAGTTGGGACTTAGGGCCTGTTTATATGATCCCGGCCAGGCGGGACGGGATGCTTACCGAGATCCCGCTCGTAATACAAATTCTAAAGAGTGTTTATATGATCCCGCCACTTATCCCGCCTAGGCGGGATCTCGGCAACAGATGCCGGGATCCCGCCTAAGCGAGATGAAAAATTCCCATATAAACACTTCATCCCGCCTAGCCGGGACGAGAAATTCCCATGTAAACACTTCATCCCGGCTAGGCGGGATGAACTTTTCCCTTTTGAGCATGCGTAAATGCCTTAATTGCAACAAAAATATGACGTCAAGCACTTAAATGGCTTCATCCCGGCAATGTATTTTGTCCATATATCAACGGTGCAATGTCATCACCTAAAACGATTGTGTGCGGAGTTCCGCAGGGATCAATTCTTGGTCCCTTGCTGTTTTTATTATATATTAATGATTTACCCGAATGCCTCGAAAAAACTTCGCCACACCTATACGCTGATGATACTCAAATTTCTACTTCTGCTAAAACTATTGAGGAACTTACTGAAAATCTAAATAATGACCTGAAAAAAGTCGGTGAGTGGCTTGCTCGAAATAAACTGCAACACCACCCAACTAAGACCAAATTAATGTATATCGGTTCAAAGTATAATACTGATACTATGACTTATGATATTCCAGTAATGATGAATAACCAATTCATAACTCTTGCTCATTCATACACATGCCTTGGGGTTAAACTTGATGAAAACCTTAATTGGCATGAGCATGTTGAAATGATTTGTAAGAAAGTTGGGGCCGGCATAGGAGCAATGCAACGAATTAAGCCATATGTTCCTATAAATACCCTGCATACCATTTACAGAGCTTTGATAGAACCGTATTTTGATTATTGTAGTCCATTATGGGACGTCTGTAACCAACAGCTGAAAGATAAGCTTCAAAAGTTCCAAAACCGTGCAGCGAGAAATATAACCGGCGCCAGCTATGAAATAAGGTCTGCTGATGTTCTTCGATCCCTTGCTTGGGAAAATTTAGAGATAAGACAACGTACAACTAAATCCACATTAATGTATAAAGTCCTGAATGATTGCGCTGGGCCGAACTTGAAGGATGCTCTAACGAGAAGGGACCTTGTTCAAACCAGTTATAATCTTCGCAATACTTATACTGACCTTACCCTTGCTAAGCCAAAACGAGAATTTCTAAAAAGAAGCTTTAAGTATAGCGGAGCTAAATTGTGGAATAGTCTTCCTTCTGATGCGAAGCTAGCGCAATCAATTTATTCTTTTAAAAACTGCCTGAAAGTTTCACGCTAACATCTTCTAATATACTGTATATGCATGCTTTAGAAATATGGGTCACACCGTTTGGAACTTAATTCTTGTATTGTAAATAGTTGTATATAATTCTTTATTCTTTTCTATATCATATTTGTAATTTTTAATAGTAACAGACGTCCCTCGTGAAAATCAACAAATCGTTGACGAGGCTAACGTCTTTAAATAAAGTTTACATACATACATACAATACATACACTAGGCGAGTATCCGTCTGGGCGGGATGAAAACGTCCCGTCCCGTCTAGGCGGGATCATATAAACAGGCCCTAAGTCGGATTCGAACCGGCGACCTCTGGGTTACAAGCCCATCGCTCTACCAACTGAGCTATCAGCCCGATGGTATATTCAAACCCAACCAGCCACAACAATTCCTGAACACCCAGACATTGGTATATATATATATATATATATATATATATATATATATATATATATATATATATATATATATATATATATATATATATATATATATATATATATATATATATATATATATATATATATATATGTTAGTTGTGTAATTGTACACTCTGTAATATGTTAAGATGAAAATGTTCTAGAGTGTGTATTATATAATTTCCATACCCAGCGCAAGCAGAAAGATGTTGTCTGCCGCGGCTGGGTCTTGAACCCGCGACCTTCGAATTACTATATCGACGCTCTACCAACTGAGCTACACGGTCAGACGGATTTAAGACTGGAAATTATGAAATATATACTGAATGTCATAAACATACTCGTTTATATTAATTCAGCATCGAACAATACTAGTTCTGCAAGTGTTATGTTAGTTGTGTAATTGTACACTCTGTAATATGTTAAGATGAAAATGTTTTAATTTTTTAATTTTTTCATGGCTGCTCGTTTTGCCGTAGTAACAGAGGAGGAAATTGCCAAAATTAAAGAAGGTAGCATTCCGAAAAAAAACAAACAAGCTACAAAATATGGTTTAAAAATATTTCAAGGTAAAATATTAAGCTTTACGTGCTTTTATTTGGAAAAAAACTGGCTTAGTCGCAACGCGACACAGAGCCGTGTCTGAGATTTAAATTTTGTAAACAAACTATTTATAGTGAAAATAAATTTATTTGTAGTGAATTTTTATAAAGTTGTGTGGATTATTGTTTATAAACACTTGGAAATTTATACTAAAACAATTAGTTGCCTCAGGCTCGGTGATTACAAGCCTATATTCACTTCGCCTTCGGCTCAGTGAATATAGGCTT